TTGATGCCTTATTCTGCATGACCATATTTTAGATCCCTTAATCCGACCCCATACCTAAATTTAACAACTACCTCACTAAGTATTAATTAGCAGCAAATTAGGAATTTATTGAGGTTGTAGTTAATAGTTAATAGTGAGAATTGGTTTCCAAACTAAAGTGTGACCGAATCAATATAAGTATGCAATATTTTATTGATATTATTTGATTAAAACAAGCTTTTGGTTATTTCTCTCTTTAGATCAGACTACTCTACATGACGTCATCTGTAGTGTCCAGGTCAGTGGTCATCAGAAGCTTTCTATCAGTGTTCCTGGAGGATCGCAAGGATCAAGGGTGAGAATACGGTCAAAATCCAAAATATAACACATTTACGCTTTTCTTACATTATATTATTTTTGGTTTGTGTGTGTATATATAAAGTCATGTGAAAAAGAAAGAACACCCAAATTTGGAAAATAAAACCTCAGATGAAAAAAAAAACACATGACATATCACAATGTGTCATTATTCATTTAGCAAAAATAAAGCCAATACGGAAAAGTCGTGGGTGACAAACTAAGGACACCCTGTGATTCAGTTGCTTGTAGATCCACTTTTAGTAGCATTAACTTATAAGTAATCATTTTCTGTATGATTTATCAGTCTCTCACATTGTTCTGGAGGAATTTTCTTTACAATGTTGCTCCAGTTTGTTGAGGTTTGTGGGCATTAATGCACAGCATTTCAGTCAGGATGAGGTCTGGACTTTGACTGGGCTATTGCAACACTTTGATTCTTTTCTTTTTCAGCCGATCTGTTGTAGATTTGCTGGTGTGCTTGGGATCATTGTCCTGTTGCATGACCCAGTTTTGGTGAAGCTTTAGCTGTCAGATGGATGGCCTCACATTTGACTCTAGAATACTTTGGTATACAGAGGGGTTCATGGTCGACTCAATGACTGTGAAGTGCCCAGGTCCTGTGGCTACAAAACAAGCCCAAAATCATCACCCCTCCATCAGCATGCTTGACTTTTGGTATGAGGTGTTTGTGCTGATACTTTTTCCTATGAAGGGCCAGAAATCAAACTTGATTGAGGGCCGTGGGCTGAAAGTAAATGTTGCATCATATTCCAAACTGTATTATATTAAAGTTGCCATGGGTTCCCCTCATTTGTTTCATAATATTTAAAAAATAAATAGAAAACATTACTCTTTAATCTGATTAACTAATGCAGCTTTATTTTAAAATTGTATAGTTCAATGAACTTATTACAATAAAAACATAAACCATCCCTTTTATAATACAATGGAGTTCAATGTCGAATACAATAATCAAGCTGTAAGCAATAAAACCATGTGCTTGAAATACCTGTTTGCTGGGACACATTTGGAGAGGTCTGTCAAGGGAAGGGACCTGAACTTGTGTTTCAGTTCTGAATCACACTGAACACGGAATAACAACTTTTTCCTCATTTGTAATGCCTGCCATCTCCTCCCAATTTTAATTCGTTTTTTTTTCAACACTCTCTCAACAGCAAAAAAAAGATCTTCTCCTTTAGTAGTACCAGAAAGGGTCTCAATGCCAGCCAGCTCTTGTGTCACTTCAAAATTTTCATTTACTCCACGCAAAAATCTATCTATACTACTTTTATAATATTAAATAGAACAGTTATGTAATATATATTATGTATAGTAGTATATAGTACAATGTATATAGTTGTATAATATATATTTTTTGGTCACACTTTAGTTTTGGAACTAATTCTCAGTATTAACTAACTATTAACCATGACTTATGTCTCAAGGTAGTTGTTAAGTTTAGGTATGGGGTGGATTAAGGGATCTAAAATATGCTCATGCAGAATAAGGCATTAATATGTGCTTCGTAAGTACCAATATACTAGTAATATGCATACTAGTTAATAATGAGAATTGGTCCTTAAAATAAAGTGTTACCATTATTTTAATACTACAGAATAGCTGAGTAACTGCTTGTGTATCGCATGGGCATTTAAAATATAAATAAATACCTAATTTGATTTCAAAGTAGGCATTTCACTGGTTAAAAAAAAAAAAAAACATGTACAATTTTGAATCAACAAGATGGTTTAACTTTGGGTGGCCCAAAATCAAAGGATGTCGCTGTCACGTTGGAGCAGACGAGTGTCACGCCTCGCGCAAATAAAAGCCTGCGCAGTTTCGAGAAGCAGTGAACTTGACAGCTCCGCTCTCCTCTGATGTGCCTCATGGATCAGAGGGATTCCGCGGACGCTACAAGATGACAGAGGTCATCAGGGGCCAGCTGCACACTTTAAAAGCACTGTCCACAGCTCGGCCACCCCGATCACTCGGACCTCAGACGAGCCAGGAGGAGGAATCGGACGCCGTCGATCGGTTCACAATTGAAACCTTCATTGATTCGCAATGGAAACTCAGCCAATCGTATTGTTCGCCGTCTTGGTGGTTTCCCTGATGCACGCGGGCTGCGTAAAGATCTCTAATCGCGGCGCGCTCGTGGGAGAACATCGTAAAGCCTTCGTAGGTTCATATTCCGACCTCAGTCTCCAGTCGTATCCCAGGTACCCGCTGTACATGATGCAGTTATACAGAGACGTAAGCGGTAAGATGCCTAGTACTCCAGCCAGTGCCGACAGCCCAGCTCTTCATCAGTCTGACTTCGTCCTAAGCCTGATTGCACAAGGTAAAACACGCACTACAACACGCATTTCGCTTTAACCTGCCTAATTAATTTTTGTATGCAAAATATGCTCAACCTAACAAAAAGGTCACATGGTACACTGAAAATTGACATCTAAATTGAATGGTTTTATTCAACCACTGAATCGATTTATACTAACAAAACTCACTTAATGGGTTAAATCAGGGTGCCACTTTTTACAGTGCACAACCATGTCATAACTAATCATTCATCAGCACCATATTTCCGTAAAGCCTTCGTAGGTTCATATTCCGACCTCAGTCTCCAGTCGTATCCCAGGTACCCGCTGTACATGATGCAGTTATACAGAGACGTAAGCGGTAAGATGCCTACTACTCCAGCCAGTGCCGACAGCCCAGCTCTTCATCAGTCTGACTTCATCCTAAGCCTGATTGCACAAGGTAAAACACGCACTACAACACGCATTTTGCTTTAACCTGCCTAATTAATTTTTGTATGCAAAATATGCTCAACCTAACAAAAAGGTCACATGGTACACTGAAAATTGACATCTAAATTGAATGGTTTTATTCAACCACTGAATCGATTTATACTAACAAAACTCACTTAATGGGTTAAATCAGGGTGCCACTTTTTACAGTGCACAACCATGTCATAACTAATCATTCATCAGCACCATATTTCGTAGCCTATTTCATTACATTTATGTATTTGGCAGACGCTTTTATCCAAAGCGACTTACATTGCATTTAATGTAGGCTATACATTATATCTACCAAACATGATATTGCATCCTTAAACCAACTGTACCAAGTCATTTTGTAATTTGTCAGGATTATAGGTCCGAATGCAAACAAGCAAGCAAGATTTTTCGTGTTATAAGAGCACATGCGTTTTAAAGAAGAGTAAAAGAGTAAAGCCACATCATCTGGGGAACTTGTGGGCTCATTATCAGCTCTCGAGCTATCTGACCCTCAGGTTTTACAACTCAGTAGTGTCACAATGCTTATTCAACTTTAAAGAGCTGGCTGTTTTATGTACACGGGTGTGTGTATTAGCCCTGCAGACGTCTGTTAGACCGAGAGGTTCAATACACATCTCCTGTCAAGCAGCTCGTCCGTCCTGAGAGTGTGCTGACATTTGGCTCTGACAGAACCTGATGCTGCGCCACTGAGTGAATCTCATCAAACCTGCTCAAAAGAATGATTACTTATTTTTTTATTTTTTTTAAAATAATGACTGAAACTTGTTAAAAGGCAGTAGAGTTCCCAGTAAATGTTTAGCTGTGTTGAAAATAATGTCACAATACAAAATTAAGTTAATATACGCCTATTAATATATTTTATTTATATGACCCGTTCTTATTTAGTAGCTTATTAAGTAGGCTAATTATTTTACTAGAAATGCAAGAATCTTTAGTGCTTACTATGAAGGTTTTTTTTTTCGAAAAAGGAAGATAATTCTTATTTCCCCCTCTCTCTTTCTTTTCAGAATGTCATTTAATATTGCTAATATTGTATTATTGAATTAATATCTAGCCATACTTGTCTGTTATTAAAAATCTGTGTCAATCTGATTGTAACTTTCATCTGATTCCTTAAAAATTATTTTCAGTGTTTCAGGCCTACTCGTTACGTTTTAAATAAATTTTAAGAAGCATGTCCGTTAATTCTTAAACTTAAAATAGGCCTAGTTTTGAGCATTTCAATGCGCTTCGTCAACCTTTGATCTTTTGTCTGAAAACTCCATTGATTTCTATGCTAAGCAGGTTTATTCGATCCACTGCCTTGTTTAGTAAGAGGTGATACGAACATTTTCTGTTTATTTTCCAGACTGTCATCAAATTGGCGAGCGATGGACCATCACTTTTGACACGTCTTCCCTCTCAGCGAGCGACAGCATTCAACTTTCGGAGCTCCGCGTCCGGCTGCCAGCGTTTTCTGCATCCAGACGCGTTATTGTGGATGTCTTCCACTTACGCAAACGGGATTGTGAGTCTGACTCTGTGTTTTGTCGCCATAAGCGACTTTTTATAGGTAGCATCAAGTCAGTGCCCGGCACTCCAACATCAACCTGGAGAGTTTTCAACATCACAGAGCTACTCGAGCACTGGTTGAGTCAGGGGACGGAGACACCTGAGGACGGAGAGGACACCGGGAGCGGGGAAGACTTACCTGAACCGGTTACAGATAGCTGGCGACGAAAAATCCAGCATCCCACTGCAGAACGAGTTATGATTGTAGTTTTCTACAAAAACAAATTTTCCCACACTGGCCGACAACGTGCCTCCAGCTTGATCAGTACTGTGGCGCACTCCAAATATGTCGTCCTGAACCGGGCACCAGACGCAGCTCAAGCTCGTCGCCACAAAAGGAACCGGGTCGAAAGGATGCCATATTTAATATTTAAAAGAAATTAATGTAAATATTTTGTATTTGGGATTTTTATTTTTTATTTGGGAGTGTAGGCTATATTTTTACTTAATGTAAATATGCATTGTGATAAAATGTGATGTGAAATGTGTTTTTTTTTTATCATTATCAGCAGGTTTGATACATTTTTATATAAAATATAAAAAACCAATAAAGCAGAACATTATTTCAGTATTTTATTTTGTTGACTTTGTTATATGTTGTACTGTAGTTTGGGCAATCATCATTTTAGTATAGCCCTAGTGATTTATTATTTGTATATTGGTTTCCTCAAATGGTGCTTTAAATTAATTAAATAAATTTGCTAAGTTCTAAAATGTTTTAACATTTAAAAGAAATGTCTATAGTGAGTAAAACTGACATTTCTAATGCTTGATGACACTGGTGGCTGAACACACATAATTGAAATGCAAAGGATTCGTTCACTCAAAAATGAAAATTTGCTGTAAAGGCCATCCAAGATTAGGATGAGTTTGTTTCTTCATCAGGTTTGGAGAAATGTAGCATTGCATCAGTGTCTCAGCAATGGATGCTCAGCAGTGAATGGGTGCCGTCAGAATGAGAGTCCAAACAGCTGATAAAAACATCACAATAATCCACAAATAATCCACAGCACTCCAGTCCATCAGTTAACATCTGGAGAAGACAAAAGCTGAAACTAATCCAGCATTAAGACGTTTTTAACTGTTTTTAACTTTTTAACTAACTATAAATTGTTGCTTTCAGCTAAAATACAAGTCCTCTATTCATAATAATAGCTTTCTCAAGTGGAAAAAATATTTTAATCTGAATCAGGAGAGAAATACGCACAGATATGGGATATATAGACTGTGGGTGTATTTTGATGCGAGAGGACAACAGGGGATGGACCTTTTCACTGGAGGAATTATTATTATGGATTATGGCCTGTTATTTTGACCAGAAGTGACGGTTCATTGTTAAAACTGATGGATTTGTAAGCCTGCAGGCCTTCTGATCCTCTCAATGGACACATTGCCTAGCTCCTTTTGTCTAATTAAAGCACATCTTCATGTCCCAAAATCCCACCAGGATGGGTGCTGTGAGAATGTGTTACTAAAAGCTGTTAAGAAGGAAAAGTGTTTGAAGGGTGGGTGTTATGTAGAGGTGTCAGGGTCATCACACTTTATGTAGATGTCATTATTAGAGTTGGGTGGTCTGCGAGGTTTGTGTACAATAAAACTGCTATTAGGCTTTGTGTCATGGGCAGCCCAGATGTGAGCCTGTTAACATGTTCACTATCTCAAGCTGCTTCACTTAAAAGGGCTTCAGGGTTATTAAAAAAACAACAACAACAACAAAAAAATATATATACAGTATATATGCAACCAAGGAAAAATAAGCATTTGTCTTGAAATTATACTGTTTTAATAATGCATTGTGAGGCTTTATTGTTTTCATCCTCCAATCAGAAGGTTTCAATATGCAAGAAGCCTGGGGCACAAGAGTGATTTAAAGTTTATTTACGCAATTGAAAGAATGATTTCCTCATGACTCCATTGCATCAATTAAAGTCTTGTGAAGTGAAAAGCTGAATGTTTGAACCATCATTAATACGTCCTCCATCTATAATCTTGCTTTCTCTGGTGAAAAAGTCGTCTCGTCTGAATCAGGAGAGAAATATGCACAGATCAAGCACCGTTTACAAGTGAAAACAGTCCAAAACAGCTCATTTTGGGGTGAACTATTCCTTTAATGCAATATATTCGCCAATAGAACAGTAAGTAAAAAAGGGTGACCACAAAAATCCATTTGTGAGTTTTTATTTCTTTATTAATTCTGTAAATGTATCTTCAGCTGGTGTACAGGGTTGAATATTTCTATATATTTCTATAGACATTTAAAATCTTGTCTGATTCAAAGACCTATAGTAGCGATAAAAATAAATCCATAAACAAAACGAAAGAAACTTTAAAGAAGCACAATGCTTCTATATTCCCACAGGCACCCCCCTGAAGTCTTGTTTGCTAAGATGCTATAAGTACATCCATGACATTAAAGTATTCCCATATTCCCAAATAGCAGGTCATAAATTCCCACTTGCAAGTGCAAAGCATTCTAATTAAATATAATTATATATATGTATTAAAAGATGTATTAAAAACATCTTTTCTGTGCAAGTGTGCATTTTGCATTCCTTTTTTTGTAATATGCTATTGCGTTTATACTGATTTCAGATCATTCTGTAGTAAATAGGAGTATAAATATTCTGTCATTTTGCAACAGTTCACATTTTTGCAAGAGGTTTGTTTAAACCATTGCTTAGACATCAAACAACTGCATTGCTAATTTGACGTATCCTTGCTGCCATACTGGAATGGACCGGCCCAAATACTTTACGCAGCCACTGTGATCTGTGCGGTTTGAGTTTTGTTCAGGGAGGGACTGGAGGGAGGACCCATCAATGCCAGCAGAGTGGCTGCATTCATTTATTCCTAGAAATTCAACCTTAAGTGCTGGAAATCCCAAACCACGTAAATGAGAACATCTGAAACCTGATTTAAAAAAAAAATAAAAAAATGCACATAGGATATGAATAAAGAGCTTGTTGACTTCTATTATTACATCCAAGAGTTTCAGTGCATGGTTGGGAAATTATTTTCCCAGTGAGTCAATGAATTTTATATCCAAGCCCAATAAAATAAAAATAAATTAATTAAATAAATAAAAAAACTTTAATAATCCATCGGCAAAATGGATGATTAAAAAACAATAATATATTATAAAATATTCATGCATTATTTTTTTTATCATTAATGTGCATCCTTATATGAACTGATTCTATGAATAATATAAAAAATGTGAAAAGTGATGCTTAAAAATGTAGATTCAGTGTTATTCATGTGACTTGAATGTGATGTACAAAGAACCAAAGACAATGAAGCTTTAAATAACAATGCTACAGCATGACATACGATGCTACAATAAATGGCCTATATTTGGTATCATGCTCTTATGATATCAGAATCAGAATTTTATTTCCATACATCCGAGATGTTGATTTGAGGTTTTTGAGATTATTTTGTTTCACCCTTTAAATTCAAAACATTATTTCAGGTTGAAGGCTGTATGCTGTGTTCAGATGCTACATAAATAAGTGATCTAAAATTAGATTGTTTGCATGATGGCCAACCAGTGCTGCAGTGATCACCATTTGCATAATATGATATAGTGTTGAGCTGTGCATGGAAACAACAGCTCTACAACTGGACTGGCTGTTGTAGCTAAACAACTCCTGAAGAAAGATACGAGCGGAAAAGAATAACGTCAGTGCAGGTCCAGATAATCCACATTATAATTAGTGTCTGTGTGTGCGTGTATGAAGTCAGGTCTGTTCTGCTGTGGGACAGTGAACAGTCTGATCACAGTGCTCAGTGGCTACGTGTCTTCATCAAGCGTAAGAGAGGCAAAGATGTCTGTAGTGTTCACACCTTTTTGTCAAGCATGTGTTCGAGTGCCTAAAAAAATATTACACATCTATTCTCATCAATGAAAATGTTTGGTTTTAAAAATGAGAAACAATACAGAGTGTGTTGCTCTCCCTAAAAAGAATATTTAGTGCACACCATGAGTATTAGCATCATCTGTAATGGTGAACAAAAAGACAATGAAAACAAATGTCTATTATGCTGAAAAGATGAGAAAATATCTAACCTTTCAGTGAAGTTATATAGAATATTAGTAATAGTAGTAGTAGTAATACTAGTATTAAATGTTTTGCCAATAATTGGCAAACCAAGGTCACTAATCAAGCTTTCATATCCCACTGCAAACCTGTAGAGAAAAGCCCAACATATACATCAGTCTGTGTGTGTATAAAAAATGCTGGGTTAAATACAACCCAGTGCTGGGTAAAATAGGGACAAACCCAGCAATTGGGCTGTTTTGACCCAGCGGTTGGGTTAAATGTTTAACCCAACCTTCTGGGTAGTAACCCAACCGCTGGGTCAAAACAAACGTCAGTGCAGGTCCAGATAATCCACATTATAATTAGTGTCTGTGTGTGCGTGTATGAAGTCAGGTCTGTTCTGCTGTGGGACAGTGAACAGTCTGATCACAGTGCTCAGTGGCTACGTGTCTTCATCAAGCGTAAGGGAGGCAAAGATGTCTGTAGTGTTCACACCTTTTTGTCAAGCATGTGTTGAGTGCCTAAAAAAATATTACACATCTATTCTCATCAATGAAAATGTTTGGTTTTAAAAATGAGAAACAATACAGAGTGTGTTGCTCTCCCTAAAAAGAATATTTAGTGCACACCATGAGTATTAGCATTATCTGTAATGGTGAACAAAAAGACAATGAAAACAAATGTCTATTATGCTGAAAAGATGAGAAAATATCTAACCTTTCAGTGAAGTTATATAGAATATTAGTAATAGTAGTAGTAGTAATACTAGTATTAAATGTTTTGCCAATAATTGGCAAACCAAGGTCACTAATCAAGCTTTCATATCCCACTGCAAACCTGTAGAGAAAAGCCCAACATATACATCAGTCTGTGTGTGTATAAAAAATGCTGGGTTAAATACAACCCAGTGCTGGGTAAAATAGGGACAAACCCAGCAATTGGGCTGTGTACTGGCCTCAGAAAAGAGAAAACTGAATAGAAATCACTAGAAGGGTGATAAATGCAGGGATGGCAATAATTGCGTCATGTCTAGGTAAGATGATTTTGGTTTTTGGGCTGCCAAAGTTAGTTTTTAAATGCCATTCAGTTTGAATATGTTGAAATGGTTTATTCTCTTCTAACGTCGTGTTTTTAGTAATGAGAAGACGTCAATAAAACAACTGGTAATATTTTATGTGGTCCTATTAGTGAACGTTATATGAGCAGTATATTTATTACAGTATTTATTCATCTTTGATAATGTCAGTTAATAAAAAATACTGTTAATTGTTGTTTCATGTTAGCTCAAATCAATTAAATAATATGAACAGATACAACTTTTGATATTAATGTATTAGTAAATGTTGAAATGAACAAACTACGATTAATTAATAATGCTTTAGAAGTAGGTTTCATTGTTAGTTCATGTTAACTAATGTCAGCAAATTTCGTACCTTATTGTAAAGTGTTACCAATCATTTTTATTTATTTTCTTTCCTTAGGAATAGGTTGAATTATTACCTACAAAACAAACCACAAGATTAATTGTGAATAATTATTTGAATCTACTGACAGCCTTTATCTACATTTTACGAAAATTTTACTTCACTGAAAGGTTAGACTTTGTAACTATCATTTATAACGAGAAAAATTAAAATTATTGCTTTTTTGCTCCTAAGGACTCTTTCCACTATAAAGCAAATGCGAATGGTGGATAATGTAAATGTTAATATTATGCATACAAGCTCCTCTGTGCATATCAAGTTATTGAGAGGAAGCTCATATGACGCAGAGGTTTGCAATGTATACAGAACAAAAACAATCTTGCTGCAGCGCTGCAAACGTGTACATATAAAGCCCCACGGTGATTTGAAAGTATGTCCAATGTACGTATCCCACTGAAAACATTTATACTGCACAAATTGTATCCCTTGAGCCTAGTCTATCTCAGGCAACACAGGACTTCACAGCTCATTTGCTACACAATTATACCTTTACAATACACAAGACACGTACTATTGGACTGAACAAGAATTCAGGAGCAAGTATTGAGACAGCAGCAGCATCGCATAGGTTGTTGTCATTTTGTTTTTGGCTTTGTAAAAGAACACACGCACACAGAAGGTACATTCACATCATATTTGAGTGCATATTATGTATAATACCAGTACAAGAGGGTCAGACTCCTCCTGGTGGGAAACCTTTTCAGTACTGTGTTCTAGACTCGCTTGGAAGACTACATTTCAGAAAACTAGCTTTTGTGTCCCATGTGCCCCCAAACCACATCCAGTTGGCCAAAGTCCTTCCCCACACCATTTTACAGCCCTTGCGGTACGACAGTATTTTCTCACCTCATAATTGCTTGCAGTCAGTGCTGTATGTAAAGGCAGGCCATGCGACAGCACTTTCACATGCTGATATTGAGATTACAGGAAGCACTTCTCAAATGCTTGCTTTTTTTCATTGTTTGGTTTCATTTTTTAAGAAATCATGCCTCTAGCCACTAGTGTTTGTTTTGCTTGTTAAAAAAGTCCTAAAATCTCTTTTTCGTAGTTGATATCCATCGCCTATCGCCAATGCTCTAGTTCGGTTTTCTTCTTTATTTGACGCCCATCATGTGTCAGTGAAGGATGGTTTGGGTGTAGGTGTCAAGTCCTAGGTTGGAAAAATAGAAAGGAAGGTTACAATGAGTCTGCGATCTTACAAGAAATCATGACATTCAGATCAAAACAGCATGTTTTAGCTGGTTTGTTGCTGGTCCAAGTTGGTCTACCAACTCTTACTAGTATTATTTACCAGGTCAAAACCAGATCTACCAGCTGGTAGTTCAACTGATCAACCATTTAGAGCAAACAGTGACCATAAATGACCTTACTATTCAAACTATGCCTTAAAGGGGTCATATGATGCTTTTTTAAAGATCATTATTTTGTGTATTTGGTGTAACAGAATATGTTGACATGCTTTAATGTTCAAAAAACACATTATTTTTCAAATACTGTACATTATTGTAGGTCCTCTATGCCCCGCCTCTCTCAAACGCTTCGTTTTCTACAAAGCCCCCTCCTT